ACTTAACCGACTGAGCCACCCAGGTGCCCCTCAGACAGGCTTTTACATATAAACAGAGTAGTAGAAGAAGCAGGCTGAAAATCAGGGGAAGCTGGGGATTTAAGTAAAATATAAAGGTGAGCTTCCCCAGCTGAAAGATTCTGGAATGAGCTTCTAGGGGAATCAGAGTATTTCCCTCTGGCCACCATGCAAGAGAGTTAAGAAGCTGAGACAATCAAACACCAGAGCGTCTGAATTGTTTCACCTTTTAACTGGCTGACTAGAAATCTTCTTAGCTGTTTCTTTTTAATTAAACACTGAATCAATTAAGTTAACTAATGAAGAGATTAAAGTCAAAAGACATCTTGGACTCTGTTTCACAGAGCACTCCCCAGGTCATAGTCGCCTGGGTCAGCTCTCAGCATCGTTGATGAGTCAACTCACACCACACCGGCCATCACCATCCCCTAGCCACCCGCACACTGTGCGCTCTGGAGAGCTGGCCTGGGGGTGAGGGGCGGGCTGTGCGGTGCTGGGAGTCACGTGGTCCCCAGCCCCGCCCAGCACTAGCACCAGCACCAGCAGGCTCTCACACTCTCTGAATGAAAGACAGACGGAAGACACCATGTCTGTTCTCACCTTAAAATGCACTGTTCCACACCTGGAGATTACATTTCGAAATTAATATCATTTTCAAGTGAGAAATCTAAACTCAACAGTAAACCGAACAAAATACGGATTTTAGTGTTAAAATCTCAGAAAGTCTCCTCCATTGCTGGTAGGAATGTAAAATGGTACAGGCACTCTGGAAATAAAACGTGAGCATACACTTATTATACAACCCAACAATCACACTCGGGCATTCTCCTAGAGGGGTGCAAACAATATCCACACTAAAGCCTGTATGTGAACGTTCATACGGCTTTATTCAGAAGAGCTAAAAACTATAAGCAATTACAGTGCGTCTCAACGGGTCATTGGTGAAACAAGCTACGGTACATCCATGCCATGGAAATACTACACAGCAATCAAAGGAACTACTGACACACACACAACTTGGGTGGACGTCAAGGGCGTTATGCTGTGTGCAAGAGGCCAATCTCAAAAGGCCACATATTCTATGACTCTATTTATATAACTTTTTTAAAAAAGATGTACTTATTTATTTTAGAGAGAGAGAAAGAGCAAGCATGAGCAGGGGGAGGGGCAGAGGGAGCGGGAGAGAGAAATCTCAAGCAGACTGAATTGAGCACGGAGCCCGATGTGGGGCTTGATCTCACCACCCTGAGATCATGACTTGATCCGACTGAGCCACCCAGGCACCCGTATTTATATAACTTGAAATAACAAAATTATAGAGATGAAATTAGTGGCTTCCAGGGGTTCTGGAGGGGATGAGGGAAGACTGGGTGGGGGTTGGGTGACTGTAAAAAGGAAGCAGGTGGAAGATCTCTGTGGTGCTGGAATGGTTTTCTTGATTGTGGTGGTGACATGAATCTACAGGTGTGAGATGACATAGAAGGGTGGACATACTTGACCAACATCGCTTACTCGGTTTTGATGGGACTAGCATTATGAAATCACTGGGGGAAGCTGGGGGAAGGCTATGGGAGACCTCTCTGAACTATATTTGCAACTGCCTACGAATCTCTAATTACCGCAAAATAAATTTTTTTTTTAATGTGCATTTTAATGTTAAAGAGTCTAAAATAAAGCAACTTAGGCAAAGATCTGTACGAGCAGGGTCCGGGGGCAGAGTTGGTAGGGAACATGCAGATCCTCTTGCCACCCTAGTTTCTCACTGTCGTTACTGCACAAGAGCCCGAGACAGTCACCTGCTGCTGTCCAGACCTCACTGTGGGTGCTGGGCAAACAGTGGCTGGACGGAAGTGAGCCTGCAGACACCACTTATGTCCACCCCGGGCCACTCCTGTCACAGACCACATCTGAATCCAGGTATGGAGTTCACTTGCTAACTGCCCCTTTTTGCTGGCCTGAGCTCTGGTTTCAGAATCCACTCTCTGGACTCATGTCCTTAGAAAAGCATATGGCTGTCTATGATGACTTAGGCCACCAGACTGAGAATCTACTGGGATCCCAAGGCCTGTTGCTCTGTGCTCAGCCCCAGTGTGAGGCAGCAGGCAGCATGCCCAGGTGACTAGGGACAGAGGGGTTTCTGGTGGGCTGATTCTCACCCTTCTCTCCAGCCCAGCATATCTTCCGCTCAATGGGATCAGAATCAAACAACCAACTTGATATTCTCCCTCCTCTCCCGTTTACCTCCCATCCCTGGCCCCAGATACGAGGCAGGCACGCTTGATTCTACAGTCTGTGCTAGGAACACTCACTTAACGAAAAGATGGTGCAAAATAGCATGTACAGAATAACCCTATTAAATACTTAACATATGTGTGTGTGTATATGCATATGCATATGGATTATATTTATTATTATCCATACATATGGATCATATTTATTTCTATATTTTCTAAGTATTCCACAATGAATAAGGATCACTTGTGAATTAAAACTGAAGTTATAGGGGCGCCTGGGTGGTGCAGTCGGTTAAGCACCCCACTCTTGATTTAGGCTCAGGTCGTGATCTTGGGGTCCGGGAATCGAGCCCCATGTCAGGCTCCCTGCTCAGCATGGGGTCCGCTTGAGATTCTCTCTCCCTCTCTCTCTGTCCCTCCCACTCATGCTCTCTCTCTCTTTCTCAAATAAATCTTTTTTTAAAAAAAACCCTAAAATTGTAAATAAGGAAACATCAGACAAGGCCGAATGAAGACATTTATAAAATAACTGATCGCTGTTCTTCAGAAGTATGAAGACAGACTGAAGGAGACAGAGGAGATAAGACACCCAAATGCAACGCCAAATCCTGGACAGGAACCTGGACCAGAAAAATGACATGAGTGGGGGAAATCAGCACAATTTGAATGAAGTTTATTAGAACAGCTGATCAATGAAAGTGTCCGTGCTAATTTCCTGATTTTTATAGGTGTATTACGTAAGATGTGGACTTTAAGGGAAGCCGAGTAAAGAGTGTACGGGAACGCTCTGTCCTATTCACACAGCTTTGCTATAAATCTAAAATTACTTCAAAAGAAAAATAAATGAAAAAAAAAGAAAAATAAATGAGTACAATTGAGCCAATGACAACATCCCACCCCCTAGAGATACTTAAGGCCCCAGCCTAAGCCTACAGGAGCCCAGCCTCGTGGGGCTGGATGCATGCGATGGCCCCTATCAGGACAAAGTGCCCCCAGGGGGTTTCCTGGCTCTGTAAGCCCCTTCCCTCCAGCCTCCTGCCTGCTGGGCTCTCCTGGACTCCAGGCCTTCCCTGTTCTTGGCCCCCAGCCTGGAAATCCAGCCTGTCCTTTGAGGTCCAGCACCAAAATTGATGCCTCCGTGGTAGGTCTGGACCCCTCCCTGACTTGACAAGGTCAGACCGTGTCTCCTTGCTGATGCCACAGCCCAGGACAGTCACCGCCTCAAGCATAGGATGACTGTGGAGGAGTGCTCGGGAATCTTTCTTCAGCAGACGGGGCACCTGGGAAGGCAGGACCCTCTACCAGGGGCTTGCAAGATTGACATAAAGCATGTGCTCAGTACAGAGTGGTGGCAAGAACCACAATCCTGGCAATTCATGTGGTTGTTCTGAGGTGAGGGACACGCCCGGGTCCGGGCACAGAGAACTTGCAAGAGCACTAACATGTCATCAGCCTGGCAGGATGCCCATGCTTATGTTCCCCCACCTGCCCCCAGGGGGCAGGCCTGGCAGAAACCTGCCTCTTGGGTGGGGTTTCAGCTGGAGCCGCCCAAATGCTGGGCCCACCCTGCCTGGCTTCCTTTCTTGGTGCCATCAATGGGTGCGCTTTAACCAGTTTGCCACAGGGTCACTTGCTCAGGCCCAGCCTTCGGGCAAATGACGAGAGAGGGCCGGTCAGGTCTGACTGAAAGCTGGAACCACCTTCCCCTCCCTGGCCCGGGGTCAGCACGGCCAAATTCAGAGCTATTAAGAAAGTGTTACCCACAAGCTAGATATTTTAGGACGTGTTCAAAACACGAAATAAACTCCTTTGCCCTGAATGGTTCACCAGATTTCAGTGTCCCCATGAGCAGAAAGGGGATGGTGGCAGCTGGCTCAGATGGACACTGTGTCTACGGGGCTCTGCAGACTGCAACATGTGAGCCACCCCCGGCCCCTGGCAGGGGTTCGAGCCGCAATCCAGCTGCAGGGCATCTCAGAGAGTGTAACGCAGTGACAGGTCCCCGTGCGCGACCGGGGCGGCTCACACAACTGTTTTATGGCAGATGTCACGAGCTACCTCTTGCACAGAGTCTACAAGTCAAAGTTCAAAGTCAGCTGACATGACAGTTAATACTAGAAGACCTCCTCTCAGAAGGAAAGACAGAGTCCCCCCCACCCAACCGTTTTGAACTTTAGAAAAGCAGAAACAAGCAAGTAGTTGGGGAAAAGAAACCATACAAAAGTCCATTTCCAGGGCACCTGGGTGGCTCAGTTGATTAAGCAACTGCCTTTGGCTCAGGTCATGATCCTGGAGTCCCGGGCCCCCCCGAGCTCCCTGCTCAGCAGGGAGTCTGCTTCTCCCTCTGACCTTCTTCCCTCTTGTGTTCTCTATCTCTCATTCTCTCTCTCAAATAAATAAATAAAATCTTTTAAAAAAAATAAAAGTCCATTTCCAGCATCTTCCTGAGGACCCAGGATATTTTAGCAGCATCCTCCCCCCCACCCTTCACCACCCCTCCGATCACCAGGTGGCCTGCCTGTCACCCACGGCGGGTGGGTTTGTTTTGGAAGGAGGAAACCCACCCATACTGCAGAAGTTGGGAGGAGTAGCACAGGGAGGGATTAGGGATCATCCTGGCTGAGTCTGAGAGGTGGGGGAGATGGGAGACCCACAGCAGCTCCGGCCCCTGTCCGCCCCCCCCCCCCAGGAGTGCCGGCTTCTCCTGAGCCCTCCCCTTCTGCAGGTGTCCCACGCTGCAGCACTCACCAGCTCGGGCAAGAAGAAGGCGTAGGGGATGGTGAAGAACAGCAGGACCCCCAGGGGCACTTCGGGGGGGGCGTAGCTGGTGGCGGGCGGCAGGTCCGGGGAGGCCATCTCTAGCCCAATGCCTGGTGCCCTTGGCTCCGCAGCGGCTCGCCCGTGCCGGCCCAGTCAAATATCACCTCCTGCCTGACACACCCATCAGACGTCGCCTGGGAGGGAAAAAAAAAAAAACGTTCCAGCCGAGCAGGTCCTTCCACTGCTCTGGCCAAAAGCCTTCCCAGTGAAATGCAAATGTGGATTCGGCTTTGCATCAGATGGGCCTCGGCTCCCTGGGGCAGAGCCGCTGGGCACACTGAGGCACGGAGGGCGGAGACTCTCTTCCTACACTTACCCTCCTCAGGAATTTTGAATCCGGGAGCATATTAACTCCAGGGGATACCAGCCACAGCCACCACCCCTCGACCGCGTGGCCAGAGTCTAGGCGAAGTCTTGCTCTGACCAGGACTGTTTATTAAGGGCCTACTATGAGCTAAACAATCTGCAGGCTCCCCACAGCCATGCTCACAGCTATAGCATCTCTTTCCGAAGTGAGGAGGCTGAGAATCTGTTAGGTTAAGTTACGGACACAGAGCTGGTCATGAATGATGTTGGGTCTTCTATCGGTCCGCCCCTGCTGCCCGGGCCCCTCCTTCTCCATTCCTGGGGGCCACCCTCCGTCTCAGAGGGAGAGAAGCCGTCCTCCCTTCCAGCTTCCAGTCCCCAGGAAATTGGCATTTCCTTCTCTCCTTGCATCCCCTTCCCCACCCTCCTCCCTTCTTTGCTCGCATAGCCGGTGGTGGAGTTCTCCCTCTCTAGAAGTCGGCCCCATCAGGCACCTGAGAAGGGCTCAGTTGGCTGGGTGCAGCCCCAAGTTTGAGCCTTCCTCCTTCCCTGCCACAGCTCTCTCTGAGTGTCGCCAGGCGCTGGGCTTGGGGCCAGGCAGTTCCTTCCTGCCTCCCGCCCACCCACTGGCCGATCAGGGGGGCTGTGACCCAGTGGTCAAGCAACTCCTCTCACTCTAAAGATAGGTCCTGGAGACTTGAGTCCTTTTTCTTCTCTACCTTAGAGTCAACCATGTGCAGAAAGGCCTGGATCCCCAGAGTCTGCTCAGGGTGCTTGGGGTTGGGGTCCTTTCTCCCTGCCTTCAATGGTCAACCTCAGCCCCATGGGGTCAACCTTGGGGAGCTGCTCCCTGGTGAGGAGGGGATGTGGGAAGGATCGCCTTGTGTGCTGGGGTAATTAGCATCTTCCGCAAGAGGCCAGTATCTGCTCATCAGCAAGAGCAGTGCATTCTAGAGCCTGCCCTCCTGGGCACAGGTCAGTGGAACAGGCAGCTGGGCCTTTGCCTGGTCTGGGGCTAGGCGGCGGAGAGGGGGGTTTTGGACAAGTGAAGCCCAAAGCAAAGCACTGAAAGGGGAGGCAAAGAGCACACTGACTAAACCTCAAGCCAGCCTGGTCATTCCCTTCCCCCAGGCCTGCTGAGACCTAGGGAGAGAGTGAGACCCTCATTCTACCTGCCACCTGGCCCCACCTCGTTTGCAGGATGAATTCAAGCTAAGCGGGCCTTGCCTCAGGAATCCCACCTCTTGCCACCTCTCCTGCAGGTTGTGACTAAGCCCTGTGACACTCTTATGGCCTGTAGGATACTTGGACTTGACCACTGACAACATGGCATAATGGGAGCAGCTTAGGGAAAGCAAGAAGGAAAACACGGTCTTTATGCTCATTTCTCATCTATGAAGCAGTGGTAATAATAGAAACTGGAGCCCTTAGAGGTTGACAGAGCCTGAGCCACTTCTACCTCCTGAGGCAATTAGTGTACTAAGAAATGAAGATGGGGGCTCCTGGGTGGCCCAGTCGGTTGAGCAACCGACTCTTGATTTCAGCTCAGGTCATGATCTCAGGGTCTGAGATGGAGCCTCGAATCAGGCTCTAGGCTGAGCGTGGATCCTGCTTGGGATTCTCTCTCTCCCTATCTCTGCCCCTCCTCCCCCCTGCTCACATGTGCTCTCTCTAAAAAATGGAAAAAAGAAAAAGAAGAAAGAAATGAAGATGTGACAAAACATGGTTACAAAAACTTTGGCATATTTTAAACATTTTACATTTAACCAAGTGATGTTATATCATATGTGACAAGGTATAGCACACTCCACTTAGGCAACTGATAAGAAAGCTACAAGATTCATAATGCACCACAGGGAGCGAGATCCCAGCAGGGACAGAAGTTTAGAGCTGTAAGAACAGCTTCAACTTGGAAGAAATAGAAAAAAGCTCACCCGTTCCTGAAATGATTCTGACTTTTGTATCATATTCCTGGAGGAGGTGTCGCAAAACACTCCACAGCGCACTCCCGACGGCCGTCCCGCTGAAATGTCAGAAGGAGCCAATATCCCGGATGCATCAGGTCTGGTTGAATATCTTAACGGATGGCTTCAGATAATCAGACCACGTGATCAGCACGATGCCCCCGCAGCATCTGCCCTGCCGCGGAGGATGCAAGGAAGGGAGATTACTCTTGGGCAGTGTCTTTTTCCCCACTGCTGGGTTTTTTTTTTTTTTTCTTCTTTCTTTTTGGATCAGTTTTTATTCTTTTACCCTACATCCCAGAACACTTCTTACCAACACAACTGTTAAACATTCTATATAAAAAGTTGTATTATCTGAGAATGTATTAGGAAATGTCTTTACTTTTCACAGAAAATCTTAAAGAAAAATGAACAAAGGGACGCCTTTGCCATGCTTTCTGTCCCATACAACAGATTTAAGTTTTGTGCAAGAATATATTTTTTAAGTAAAAATAAAATTGCAAAGCATTGCAAGGAGAGGCATCTCTGGGGCTATGGGTATAAAAGCAATTGAAGACAAGGTCAGAAGCCTGGGGTGAGGCCTTGGGGAATGCCAGGCCCAGGAGAGGGGTCTTCCAGACTCTTCTACAAGGGGCCTGCTGGTTTTCACCTCCTGGATGGAGAATTGGAGTTAATCTTGAAAATCGTGCAACAGTACTCAATGCTGCTGATTCCTGTCATCATTGTGTCCACACTCTCCTTTGTTCATGGGGGTGGGTTAAATGGGATAATCCATACTGAAAGCATTTAGGACAGTTTTGGCATATGGCAGATGCTTAAGAAGTACTCGCTTATTTATCTAATTCTTATCCTGAAATCACTTCTCTTCCGGCCTTCTTTCCTTTCCACAACAGAATCTCCCCTGTTCATATTTCCATTCTGACTTTTAAAAATAGTCTGAAAATTGTTTTTATTGGTGCATAATACACTTACAGAAAAAGTGCACAAAACATGCAGACCGAGAAACTGCCACCCAGGCATAGAATGTTACCAGACTCCCAGTCATTTCTCCCACCTTCCTCCCTAATACCTGCTCTCAGGCCGCCCTAACCCCAGAGGCTGGTTTTGCCTGTTTTTGAATGGATTGCTTTGTGTCTGGCTTCTTTCACCCAACATGAGGTCTGTGAAACTCATCCATGTCACTGGGTGTTGCTGTAGCTCACCTGCCGCTGCATGGTGTTCCACTCCATGAATATGCCACACTTCATCAGTCTATTGTTTCTGGACATTTGAGTTCTTTCAATTGCGGTTATAATTAAGAACAATACTATGAAAATTCTAGAACATGTCTTTGGAGCATCTGTGCACTTTTTTTTTTAAGATTTTATTTATTCGAGAGAGAGAGAGAGAGAGCACGTGTGAGCATGAAGTGGGGGGAGGGGCAGAGGGATAAGCCGACTACCAGCTGAGTGTGGAGCCTGATGTGGGGCTCAATCCCAGGACCCTGAGATCATGACCCGAGCCAAAGTCAAGATGCTTAACCAACTGAGCCACCCAGGTGCCCCTAAGTATGCACTTCTATTGGGAATACCTTAGGAATAGATTGTGGATTATGTGGTATGTGTTTTTCATAGATAATGTCAAGCTATTTTACGAAGTTGTTTAAACTATTTATATTCCCACCAACAATGTATGCAAGTACTGTTGTTGCTTGTAATTGATGTTGGCATGTATATTACAACACACTTGGTGTTTACATGGTATAGTATATATTTTTTGCATTCTTTTATTTTTTTTCTCACCCTTTTACTTTTACTTATTCATTTATATGGGTTTTGCTGTGGTTATGATTTAAATGGGTCTTTTTTCTTTTAAAATCTATTCTGAAGTTTGCTGCTTTTGGTGTATTTGGACTCTTCACATTGAATGTAATTGTTGAGATGTTTGGATTTCGGTCTACCATTTTATTTTTGGTTTTTGTTTGCTCTGTGTTTCATTTCTTTGCTTCCTCTTTCTTGCATTCCTTTGGACTTTGGGAATATTTTTAGTGTTCCACTTTAACTCATCTACGGAGTTTTGACTACGTCTCTTTGCAGTGTTTGTTTAGAAGTTTGCTCTAGGAGTTACAATATTCATAGTTAATTTTCCAGTCTACTCAGAATTAATATTTTGCCACTTCAAATGGAATGCAGAAACCTTACGACCATGTAGGTCCCTTTATCATTGTTTCCCAATCACAGCTGTCATATGGATTATGTATGCACACATTCAAACCCCGCCAATGTTATTACTTTTGCTTTCAACTATCATACATATTTTAAAGAACTTAGAGGAAAAAAATTGAGTCCCTGCAATGAATGTTTTCAGTTTGGTTATTATATTTATTCTCAAAACTCCAATTCAGTTCTTTCTGTATTGTCTGTTTCTCTGATGAGACTATCTTTCTATTCATTTCAAGATTTGCCTGTATTTCTTGGAACATGATTATAATAGCTTTAGTGTCTCAATTTTAACTCTTGTGTCATCTCAGAATTGTCTCTTGATTGTCCCTTTGTCTTTTTCCTTGAGAGATGTGGAGATTTTCCTGGGTCTTCAAATGTCATGTAATTTTGGGTTGTATCTGGACATTGGGAATACTGTTAGGAGATTCTGGGTCTTGTTTAAATCCTACACAAATGTTGATTTTTTGGTTTACTAGGCAAATGCCTGGTTAGGCTCCTGCTGTGAGTTGCTCTCTGTCGTCTCTGGGCCATAACCACGGACCAAAGTCAGTTCAGTTTTTAAGGT